GTACCAGATAATAAGAAAAATTTTATTTCTTTTTTTATGCGCTGTCAAGTGATAACTAATTATACATTTTTTACAATTTTAACAATAAATGTTTTGATTTCCATTGCATTCAACGTAATCGTCAAATCATTGCCATTAACTTTACTATAAGTTTTATCACGTTTTAAACCATCATTAATCGTCTGAAACCGAAGCCTATCACTGAATGCCCGCACGTCTTGATTGGCACCCAATGTCTGTTCGGACGCTTCGCTCACAACAAAGGGGGCGAAGAGTCGGTCCAATTGTATGACTACCGGTGCGGACAAACTCTTGGACTCATTTCGTTGATAAAAGTGCTCCAAACGTATCAACACTCGCGCCGACCCGTCGGCATCGGCTCTCCATTGTTCTAACGTTAATAAATGCACATTTTTGGGCAACTCTTCACTTAAGACCGAGTAATTGGTTCTAAAATTCTTCAGATATTCCTCTGGAGTGCCGCCATATTTGGCAAACGTCACCATTGGTTCCATATACCAGCGCTGAGCCAACTCCCGGTGCTGTTCGGCCGCCATTTCCACACTGGATAACAATAGCCGCAACTGACCCCTAATGACCAGCCCCTGGCCGTCAACACCAGTCTCATTGAGGGGTTCATTCACACCAAACCGATCGTCATATAGTGTCCGCCTGTGAACCATTAGCTCAACGGCGCCGTCCGTCAGACTCGCCCCTCCCTGTGCTCTATCGTTAAGTACAGTGAACTGCAGGCCCTGACGCTCGTCACGAATGGCCAGTCGTGTGTTTATGGGGTAATAGTTACCCGATTGGGCTTCGGTTACCGTCATATCCCATGTCGGCCGTCGGTTGCGCTCACGTTTCAACAACTGTCGGCCGTTAGAGTCCGTATACAACACACCATTTGTGGTAAGATTAGTGTCAAAACGGATGATAATCTCTTTGCCCACACCATCGGTGAGCACAGGTATGGGTCCGCACACGTAGTCCAGCTCTATGTAGTCTATATCGGCGGCCACTCGTATTACTTGACTGATATACTCGTTAACCCTACGGTGTATTTCCGTCAGCCCCGGGCTCTGTACTAATGTCGGCGCCTCTGAATCGGTGTTATTGTATGGTTTGGACGGTCCGTCCGGTCTGAACACATAGGCACCGGACGCCCGGAACTGCGGCGCCGTATTATTGCCCGGCAGTGACCGGTAGTATTCAAAACTCTGGTCAACGGCCACAGACTGACCGCCGGGGAGTCTAATGGCAGTCATTTGTCCGGTTTTGTCAAACATTACATCAAAACTGTTGGCTTTGGCAGAAAAACTGGCGGTAATTTTGCGGACAATCGGTTCAATCGGTACGGATTGGGGACTATTTTGGCGGACAAAATACGTGGCGAACCCGACCGGCGGTACCACCGCTTCAAACACCAACTCATCCCTAGCTTTACTCTGTCGGCCGGGAATCGCCAGCACTGGCGCCGGTATCGGCACTATTGTCGACGAGACAGACTTTCCCAACGGATCCAATACTGTGAACACTTTGTTGACGACCGGCAGCCGTACGGTATGGCTAACCGTACGTCCCATCGGGTTATATATTGTAACAGCGAGTGAATCGTCCGATTCGGTCACCGGACAGGCGCTGACATTAAGATTCTCGCAAAAGAGTCGGTCCACCACTAGAGGCGAGCCTTCCCAGAGCTGCGGCTGTTTTACCATCAGTTTATTCAACCCCTCGGCCACTACTTGCCTACACTTGTCGACACTCTTATAGAGTTTAAGGGCGTAATCGTTGGCCACGTGTTGTTTTTCAGTGCCGGTGACGGCGTCGTGATGTTGCATAACACCCATCCATTCCCGCAGTGCACTCACCCGACCCTCATTACTGTCGGCGCCCTCCGGCCAGCCCAACACATCCAACTGTTTGCACGTCTGAAGCATATTATTGCCGACCCTTTCGTACCGTTTGAGTGCCGGTCGACTCGTGAAACAACCCGTCCAATAGGAGTGCGGGTCTGAGGCGTACGGGAAAAAGTCGTCCGATTTGGTCGGGAAAGTGTGGTTCGACTCGTGAAGAGCCTTCAGATAACAGGCGGGCGTCGAGTACAGGAGCCGTATGTATGAGCGCCGGGCGTTCACATACTGTTTAAGTTTGTCCATGTTTTTGAACCACGGATTGGCGGCCATGTATTGAAAGTCTTCGCCCATTGGAAACATCATGTGATTTGTGGCATACATTTTGCTGTACTTTTGCATATAGTCTACAAAACCGGCGACAACTGAGTCCACGTTGTAGTCCTCGGACTCCGGGTCGTCAATAATCGGGTCGTTTTGGGTGCTGACACCCGACGGGGCCATCACTCCAGGGTTACAGCCAACCAAATCCCAGCAATAGGCGGTCGTATTGCCTGTTTAGGTATCGGATTAGTTAGTGATTGACATAAGATTATAATGTTTAGCTATTAGCTAATCATTTATTGAATAATCCCTTAATCTCTAATCTAATGACACATAAATAAAATAAATGTAAAATCTTTGCTATAAAACAAATAATTTATTTTAATTTTAATACTGTAACTATTACTTACATAATACAGACATGGTTTTAAAATCCATGAAAAACATTATACACATTCTCAACACTAGTCATTAATCCCTTATAACTATCGGTCAGACAATCGGTAATAACAGCCCTAAACGGAAAGCACAGCACAGAATGCATACCATATCCCAAATACATGGCACCGGTAAACAGGTCCGAGCGCTCGCCGGGTATATCATCGCTTCCGCGCCAAACCATCTCTAGGGTCCGGTCTCTGACCCTCTTATCCCTGTCCTCGTAGTCCAGTCTTGAGAAAAACATGCCATCAAAACCCATCTGTGCCATTAAGGAGGCCTGTTCTCGGCTGTGGCCAAAAGGGTCGATCTGCCACCCGATACGGGGCACACCGCATGGCTCGCCCAGTATATCCCGGAGCCGTTTGAAACCCCACGTCATTTGATCAATGATAGCGCTGTAGTGTGAGTTTGCCTCATCATTCATACTCCAGCCACCGCTGATCAGCTCTAACTGACCTATGGTTCGAGTTAGTTAATTAATTATCATGGTATATTTTCAAAAATAATCTACATCATCTTTAGCAAATTGTTATATTACTTAATGTTATATAGTATTGATCAAAATACTTGTTATTATTGTAATCTAATTAGAGTAATAATTAAATATCGAACGCTAATTAAACATGGTAAATTATAACAATATAACAAATATAGTTAATTACAAACCATTATTAACTAATCGTTTGACAGTGTCTTTGATAGTATCTGTCTGGTGTGTCCACCACTTCCAGAAGAATGCCGTCTCGACGTATATGAACCGGCGGTCGGGCTCTCCGTCGAGCGCCTGTACCACCGAATCCAGTATATACTGAACGCCGGCGTTCTGTACGCCCTGTTTGGAGCCCCAGTAGTACTGGTCCAACGTCTTGAGCCAACCGACATCGTTGTGAGTGTGAGGCACTAAATGTACGTTCAGTTTTTTGGGGTCCGTTGCGTGACAATTGCCGTAATGACATTTGGGCTCAGGTAACGGGATTGGCGCACCCGTACCCTCAGTGCCCCCAACAACATGACTGTTTACCGCGCATACAGTAAATAACACTGTAATTGCAAAGTTATTGTTCAATAAGTAATGAAAAAATTATGTGAAAAAAAAGAATATTGTACACAATCCCAAAATTGCATTTTTAAAGACAGCTGTTAGTTACGTAACTAACAAGCAGATTATTCACAGACTCTTATGCACGCAAAATATCTCAAGTCTTATACTGAATGACTTAAACATCAAGTTTTTTTTGCTGGTAATCAGTATTTGGTCTCAAAGTACAAGTGGTTTAACTTTATTTGACGAGTTAAGTAGACATACAATACTTTCACTGACCATTGGATGGTCTGGGGGTTAAGGGGGTCGACAATACTCACATTCCGGTTCCCTCGATAAGCACGTATTAGGGTAAACCACCATTGGTTACACTACCACTTTCACTGCACTGTGAAATTTATGGGCATGTGATCACCCTTGGTAAGAAATTTTTATTATCAAGTGTGTTAAACTATATTCCCATACTAAACAACGCTCTGATTATGTCATTACTATAATACCATGTTTTAAAATTGACTGTTTTGGGACTTAATCTCCGCGTATATTATGATAACAATACATATAAATAGTTTTGTTGTAATCACTGCTGATATGAATGTCTATCAATCAAATAGTAATCATTTTATAGACGAGATTAGTATTAATAACTGTTTTTGACATAAAATATTTAATTTTATCTAATCCTAAGGATTTGTCGGTATTTAAAATACTTTATGGTAAAAATTGTTAATTTTTAAGTTTATTAAAATTAAATTCTGTTTTCAATTCAAATGTATTTTATTATCAAATAAAACAAACGGTTTTCATATTTACATTTCATTTATTATCAAACACTTATTATTTTGACGATAAATGTACTAAAAAATTGTTTTTATATTTATTTTTTATGTTTTTTGAATTGTATGTATATTTTTGTGTGTGTTTTAATTTAAGATAATTTTTAATTTACTTTAAACTTAGATAAAAGAGAAATAAATTGAATCAAAAAATCGCAAAGCATTTAAACATTGAAAAGAAATAATTAAATTAATTATTAAATTGAAAATTAATTAATAATTATATATAAAAAAAAACTTAAAAGTCTCACTAATAAATTCTCCATACGTTTATAATTGTATTGAGAATTTTTGTTTATTTGAAATACAGTTATATAATAATTATAATAATAGTAATTAAAAGTTAATATTAATTTCTCATTACTTATATATTTTATATAAAAAACTGACTAAAAATAATAACTAATTGTTTTAATTCACTGAATATATACTTAATTAATTTTAATACACTTTTTACTCATTTGTATTACAAATCAAACACAAAATTAAACGAAACACAAAAAATTAATTTCTATATTACAGGAGACTTATCATTTCATAAAACAACTCATCTTTTTTGTGGTGTAAAATATTAGTTCATTAATGTTATTGGTGATTAACTAATTAATATATAAACTAGTACCAATAAAGGGGGGTTCACACCGTAAGTTATGTAATATATAAAATTATATAATTACAAGACAATTATCATTAATACATCATTTATAACAATTGTCAAACATATAGTGTATACGTGTGTATATGTCTGTGTGTTTAAGACAATGTCTATGTATTTGTATTGTATTCACAAAATTGGGGGCAAATATGTTGTGCCGTCGATCAGCGGGTCGTCGATCGAGTGGTTGTGTCCCAGCGATCCGTTTTGACTGCATTTACCATTCATTAGCTTCAGGTTTACTGTCAATCAAACACAAAAAAATAACATTAATGTAAATCAATATTTAAAAATTTACAAACAAAAAACAATATCAACAAAACACAGATCAAACCAAACAACAAACATAATAAAACAATTAACACATGGCAAACAAATTAATAAGCATGGTGAGATCTATCATGATGATGATAGGTTACGTACGGGAGTCATCAGACGAGGCCCGGATGATTCTGGTAGGGCTGACACCCATACTGGCCGAGACCTGCTCGAAAAAGACCTGTTAATCACATAATCAAAACCGGCATTGACTTGAGTTAAACGCGCCTAATCAGACATAAGCGCTATGAAATATATGTAAGCTCAGATATTAATCACAAATCTTTAAAGTTTTCAAAAACAATTCATTAGTTATTAGTTTATTTCAATCAAACAATTCATTAAAACAATGCATTTAAATAATATTTACAGTTAAATATCGTTAGAATAAAACTTTATACAGTTATTTTCATAATGAAAACCAACGGTAATCAGTACTTTATAACGATATTTAAATGAATTAATCATTTTTTGTAAGTTTAAATTTAACAATGATTAAGGTAATTTGACAAATCACATTGATTATTTACAATTAATTTTAAAATAACCAATTAATTATAAGTTATAACATTGCAAACTAATCTATAGTATATCAAATCACCATATCGTGCATAGCGTGAAAACATCGGGGATAATCTACTAGTAATTTATTGTAATGGTTTGGTGATTAGTAAAAATGCCTATGATTAAAACCATATTCAGTTTAAATCAAACAAAATAAAATATGCATTCAGAACCAAAAAATATCATTTATAAACTAATCAAGTGCATATACTGTACTGATAAATTTATTTAATAAGTCGACTAAATGATAAAGATATTTGAGTATATTACATAGTAAATTTTACGATTTAAACCAATTTAAATAGATTATGATAGAATAAACAATATAATTTATTGGTTGGACAAAGTTAAAGGGACTGTCAATTGCTGACTTAGCTAAACCGTCATAATGACCAGGAGGCCAATAACCTGAGGTTAAATAATAAATTTAATAATGATTACAACAACACTAACAAATTCAGTGTATTGATATGATTGTAATGTCCGGCCAGCCATACGTGCTTACAGGCCTCGTCCGGGGTCAGTCGATGCATCGGATTCCACCTAGGTTATTATTCAAAAGTACATAGTTGTTGTGATTGTTATTCAGTGTATTGATATGATTGTAATGTCCGGCCAGCCATACGTGCTTACAGGCCTCGTCCGGGGTCAGTCGATGCATCGGATTCCACCTAGGTTATTATTCAAAAGTACATTGATTAATTTCATGAAATTAAATTAAATTTATGGTTTAACACGTATCGATTAATATACTGTATGAGTGTTTTTGTTTTTGATCATGATCAATTAAAATAAAATTGTTTAATTAGCCACTAACAAATTATCACAGAATATTCTTAACGCCATTAATCACAAAGTGATTAATATTAATTTATAAATGTGATCATCATCAAATAGACAGTGATTACATATATCTATTGTGCACATTAAATATCGATTGTATGAATTAATATGAATTAATTAGTGTTGAGAGCACTCACTCGAGGCATCGGCTGAGAAAGTCGACGAAATCGTTGTCATTACAGTTGAGCGCCTGACTTAAGGGTTTGGATCCCGGTTTGCGTTTCTTTCCCTTACTATTAGTCGTGTTTCGCGGATTGCCCTTTGAGTCTATGGGAAATGCAGTGAAAGTAGTTAATTAGTTCATTAATTC